ACACATATAGTTATAATAATAATAAAAATAGCAATAAATTACCAATAGCACAATAATAAAAATAATTAATTGCATAATAGCAATAATAACAATAATAATAATAAAGTAATTATAATAATTTAAATAAATCGGTATTATTTTCCATTCAGCAATCATTTTTAAATACAAAGTTACAGTTACAAACAGTAACAAACTGACAAAGCGTAACAACTAACGATGACATTAAAACGACTGCTAAAAAAATTATAAAGATTTAGTAAATATATTAAAATAATCATAGTTGTTGAAATATAATAATCAAAATATATTGCAAATATTATTACCAAATAAATAAATAAAATATAAACAGAAAAACACTGAGAAAATCAAAACAAAACAAGTTTAACAAAGATTACGAAACAAAACAAAAAATTATGCAAAAAAACAAAACAAAACAAACAACAACAACAAAAGATTAAAAAAAAATTAATAATAATAATACACGGTAGAAAAACATATAAATGAAAATAAAAACAAATAATATATAACTGTATAAAAAATTTATCTACCACTAAAAATAATAACTAAAAAACAAACAAATGACAATCAAAAAATATAAGTAAATATATATACGTTAAAAAATTGAAGAAAAATAAAAAAAATAAATAATCCAAAGAAATATACGAAAAAAAACTAAAGAAAAATATGAAAAAATAAATAAAAACTTTGGTTTGCCAATCGAGGTTCCGCTCTTTAAATAGTTTTTTTTCTTTCCTTGCCATTCTTTTTATATATTTCATTAAATTTTTTTTTTTAACTTCTATTTTCATTACTTTTTTACTCATCTTCTTTCAGATATTTCTTTTTCTTTTCTTCTTTTAAAAGATTTATTTATTCTCCTTTTTTGTTGATTTCATTTTTAGTTTAATTTGTAAATGTTTCCTTTTCCCTTTTCCTTTATTCCTTTCAAAAAGTTATTTTCAACTGTTAGAAAAAAACGTTCACCATTTATATATATATATTATATATATATATATTATATATATATATATATATATATATATATATATATATATATATATATATATATATATATATATATATATATATATATATATATATATATATATATATATATATATATATATATATATATATATATACATACATATTTATATATATATATATATATATATATATATATATATATATATATATATATATATATATATATATATATATATATATATATATATATATATATATATATATATATATGTATATATGTATATATATATATGTATATTTATATATATGTATATATATATATATATATATATATATATATATATATAATATTTATATATAATATATATTATATAATATTTTATGTTGATTCGACATTGTATTTTAAACTGCTATTTATATATATATATATATATATATATATATATATATATATATATATATATATATATTATATATATATATATATAGCAGTTTAAAATACAATGTCGAATCAACATAAAATATTACACTTAGCAAATCACGGTTAGCACGGATCCTTATAATGCCTACCTATTTGTTCCAAGAACGCCACGTATACGGAACGTTAGCGTACACATCAAGGTACTTTGTGATGCAAATTTTGAAATCATTTAATTTTTTCCGCGAAAAATAATTTAATTTGAATGTTCAAATTAAGTCAAATTTTTTTTCATAGTGCACAAATAAAAATACTTGTAGAATTTGAACCACTCAATATAATTTGATGTAGCCGATAGTTACACCAAACTCTGGACAAAATTTCAGCCTGATTGGATGACTGGTGTAGGATTTATTGCAGTTTTAGTTGAAGTTTTGTTAGTTTTTTGCTAGTAATACTTCAAAGCGTTACCGATTACTTTGAAATTCGGTCACTATAATAACGGTTACATGAGTGTTTTACTATGTAATACCAACAATTTTTGTTATAATTATTTTATCGGTACTTCTACAGTTTTCATTTTATAGACCAAAATAGTGATTTGCTACTTAATGTGTGATTTGAATAGTCTTATGCTAATAGTGTCGATACGGCCTTCAAAGTGGAGGGGGTCAACCCATCAATTTCTAAAATAAAATCCATAATTTCTAAAATAATTGCCTAAATTTCTAAAACAAAATGTCCTCGCAAAAAAAAAGTAGAGAAGGACATGACCCCCTAGCCTCCCAGGCGTTGACAGCCATGTATGCTTCGCTTGAATATACCAACATTTCCTAAGGTATAAACTGCTGCCAAATATAAAGCTAGAAAAAAGTACAAAACCTGGTCAAAGGTTTTGCACTTTTTTCTAGCTTTTTTTTTATTTTGCTTATACCTCGACCAATGTTGATAAAAATCTCGATGAGAAGTTTCGACAGTTTGTTCACTATAGGGACGCAAGAGGGATTCTTTGTGACTGATGAAATCCTTGATGTGGTATAAGACGGCGTGAATTTTGGGTGTTACGTTGGCACCAGTTATCATTAGGTAATACTTTTTGAAAATTTCAATTTTTTCAGCGAAATCCGGCTGAAGGATGTATCCAAAGCAAGCCTTGATAACTAAATTGAAGATTTTGAATGCTTCAATTATGCACACAATATTGGGAACCATGTTTGTCTCAGCAAGTTGCTGCAGCATATCCACATTTTTAAGAAGCTTCCTGCATTCATTTTTCTTAAAATGGCCCCCGTGATACGGGCTCAGTCGAGGGTGGCTGGCCACTAACAGCTTCTGTCCAAGCAGTTTTAACGATCTTGAAAAGACGGTTGACAACTCCTAAAAGGAGATAAAAATTCATCGGTGGAATGATTTCCAAAATCAAAACAGGCCCGCAGATGATTGGCTTTCGAATGACATTGCCAAACAGCTTTGCATTAGCAACAACCCCGCCAGATTGCTGAAAAGACTCAAGGCTTGAATTAATTGAGCCCAGTGTTCGCAAGTTTCCAGATTTGGCAAGACAATTGGATTTGACGCCACACCAGGGGCAAGGGTGCGTACTTGAATGAGTTTAAAGACCACAAATTATATTTGCAACTTTCATATCACAAGCCAAAATTAGTTTAACTCCATTTGCATTAATCAGTGACAAAATTTGTTCAATATTGGAGTGTGTTTCTGGCAAATCTTCTGAAACCCCAACAATAATTTGTCTCTTGACTTTGGTGTCTTTACCAGTCCTTTGAGTGAGAGGTTATTGTTGGTGCGGTGAGCTGTATTCATCCCTTAACGCAGTATCAGCAATGCTTAGGCAAAACTTTGCCACCATCAATTCCGAGCTTAACAAAATAGCCACCAGAAATTTTGCTATTTAAATCACGCTTTAAGTAGCACTATTTTGGTCTATAAAATGAAAACTGTACATGTACCGATAAAATAATTATAACAAAAATTGTTGGTATTACATAGTAAAACACTCATGTAACCGTTATTTTATAAATAGTGACCGAATTTCAAAGTAATCGGTAACGCTTTGAAGTATTACTAGCAAAAAACTGACAAAACTTCAACTAAAACTGCAATAAATCCTACACCAGTCATCCAATCTAACTATTGGCTACATCAAATTATATTGAGTGGTTCAAATTCTACAAGTATTTTTATTTGCGCACTATGAAGTCAAAATTTGACTTAATTTGAATATTCAAATTAAATTATTTTCCGCGAAAAAAATTAAATGATTTCAAAATTTGCATCACAGAGTACCTTGATGTGTACGCTAACTTTCCGTATACGTGGCGTTATTGGGACAGCTAGGTAGGCATTATAAGGATCCGTGCTAACCGTGAAATTTAAAATATAACGTTATTCCAACGTTTTTTGTTGTTGATATTTGTAAACAAAATGATATAAAAACAACGTATGTGTGCTAGTTGAGAAAGAAAGTAAGAGTGCTTTTTATGTAAATCTTTGGCCAGTTTGCCTATGATCGAAAACCAGTTAATTAAATATATAGATTATTAAAAAAAAATAAGAAAAACAGTATTTAGAATTTCTTACACTTTTATATTTGTGTGGGAGGATTGCTAAAATGGTAAAAAAAATGGTAAAAAAATTAATGTTTTTATTGAATTTTTTTATATTAGATGATAATAATCTAACTAAGGCACTGATTTTAATTTTTAATACGTGTATTTAGTTCCGAGAATGAAATTTTTTGTTTTGTTTGTTTAAATAATGGTGAAAGTAAAAATAAAATTAAAAATGATTTTAATTGTAATAGTGTCATTTCTATTGTTGAAATTTGTATCAAACTAAACAAAGAAAAAATAATGGCTATAAATAATTAAAAAAAAAAAAAAAAAACCTTTTTTTTTTATTTATTTTTTTTTTTTGGGGGGGTTTAAGCAGAACCACACATATCGTCCGCTGAGAACCAAGATGCTATATGTCACAAATCGTCAGCTGAGAACCAAAATGATATATTTTTCTGTTTACTATCAATAATATTTTATATTATATTCGTCAACCTGCATAGTGTGTCCACTAAAAACATTAGAAAATATTTAAATAATCAGAAGGACTTTCTAAAATCTAAAACTTAATTTTCTAGGTAACACAAAAATAAACATACGGCCTCTTCGTTTTTTACTGACGATATGTTAGAAATATAAAAAATCGATTAATATAAATAATAGATTGAGTTCCATTTTAATCTGAAGTAATTATTTTCTGATTTATTCTTGGCGGAAAGTTCCTTTAGTCAAGAAATGTAGAAAGCAAAACCGTTTTTTTTTTTAAACTGTTATTCTAATATGTATGCATACTAACAACTACATTTCTAATATGTATGCGTACAAACAACTACATTTCTTATATGTATGCATACAAACAACAAACTTAATGTAAAAGTAACTTTTCTAAATCTAAATACTTGAATCATCCTTTTGTTTGAGTACAGATCAAACAAAACAAAACGGGAAATACACTGATCACTAAAAGACTGGTAACTTGAGGACTAGGAAATTTATAAGTTATTTAATTATGTTCATAGGAACTTACGTTGAAAACGTTTCACGAATAAAATGTGAGTCACCCAGCGAAGTTTATGCGCTGCTGAATTCAGGTCATAAACAGTTGGCCTTTGCTGCAAAAAAGAAAAAAAGACAACCAAACAGGTGCTATTTTTATATTTGTTATATTTGTAAAAATTATTTTTCCCGTTCACATAAAAAAATTGTTTTTTAACGTCAAAGTTAAAAACAAATAATAAAAAGACAATGATTTGTATAAGATATCTGTAGTGAGCCAATTTTTTAATTTTTATTTTCACATTATTTATTATATAATAAAGTTCTAATAGTGTTAAATATTTCATATTTTTATCCTACCATAAAGGAACCACCTAATCTAGCTATGTTTAAAAGTTAAAATATGGATTATAAGAAAACCCCGTTAGATTTATTTTATAATTAGATAAAATTTATTAAAACGACATGAAAAACTAAACTATAGGTGTATGTTTTTTAGCTGACACTGTTTATGCATCTTTTATTTATAACTTCGCCTAAAGTTGTCAAAAACGCATTGGTTTATCAGTAGAAACCAAACTATGCTGAATTTTTTTTATTTTTGCAAGTCGATCAGTAATGTTTTGCAAGTCGATCAGTAATGTTTTAAACGCTTTATCTCAAAATCAAACAACTCAAGTCTGCTGTACTAGATTGAAGTTCGGTTGCTTTAATAAACTTATAGTAAAACACTTTTGCATATTTGAATTTCATTTTAATTTCAATTATAATGTCATTATTAGTTCTATATGATATGGCGACCCATTTCTTGAGCAGTATTCTAGTAATTGTTTTATATAACTTGTAAAAGCTCATACTACGATACTTGATTCACAAGACGTTTTAGCGTTATCGGCATAGACAACGTTTAAAACACGTTTTTTATAAATAAAGACCAGACCGAAATCTGTTAGATATTCCGAGATCTTTGGGTATTCCGAGATCTTTAGGAAACATCGAAAATTTTTGGGTAAATGACGAAGCTAAAAAATTTTCTTCAAAACTTGTAGTTAGAGATAATACATTTAAGCAAGCACAACCCTATGTTTAAAACACTGCTTGTAATCAGTAGTAATCGTGTGTGTGATCAGACGACATCATTACGGAGAGAAAAATTTTATAAGTTATATTCCAAAAAAATATATATATAATTTGATTATATGCTTTATAGAGCAATCCTGATTGTTAAATATAGGGGTTAAATTCATTATGCATCTTATATATAAGATCAAAAACTCAATACATTGAAGGGCTATAATAACAAACAATGCAGGTCAAATTTGATAATGAACTTTCAACCTTAACTTGTTTACATCTTTGTTGAAAAATGAGGAGATTTAATCTCCTTTAAGATTATTTAAGATTTAAAAATAGTTTATTCTTAGGAAATTGAAGATTATAAAAATGCTTTTCATTTTAATATTTTTCATTATTTCGAATAAATAAGCGAAAATATACGCTAATCGACGACATCAACTTTTGCGGAGGGTTTTTGGCAATTTAAATAATGTTCACTCTCTAATCAAATCTTTAGCTGTACTTAATATTTTCCCACTTATTTTGCAAATATCCTTTGCCAATTCCCAAAAAATTCTCAATGGGACGGAACTGTATGCAGTTTGGTGGATTCAAGCTTTTTGGTATCTTTTATTTTTATTTTTATTTTTTATTATTTTGTTCTTTATTACATTTTGAAACATGACGTTAATATTTTATAAAATTTACAAGCTAAAGTAAAAAAATATAAACAATTACAAGTGAAGATATTTAATATATATAAAAAGAATGCGGAAACTCGTAGAAGACCGTAAGGTCTTGTCGTCGAGTACCGCGATAAAAAGACGTAATTACATTTTTACAAGTTAAATATTTTACGTAGTAAATAAAAAAGTGTTATGCAATATTAAAAGAATAACAAGATTTAAATTAAAAAAACTACAAAAAAATAAAAAGTTCACAAAAAATTTCTTAAAGATAATTGGACAGATAGTATAATAGCAATATAGGCTTGAAGATCGTAAATAATTAAGTTACAAATCATATCAAGAAAAATCATACATTACAAATCATATAAACCGATATAAATAATAGATAAAAAGAATTTCAACAGGTTTAAAAGTACATTTGTATATTGTCAATTTCAAAAACTACTTCTCTCAACTTTTTTTTTTAAAATATGTAATTCCATTCAAAAGAAAAATCAGACAATTTTGTTCCAAAGATACGGTTTCTGAAATGATACGCAAAATTTAAAATGATTAGTTTTCGAAAATGGTTGCATCAAAAAATCATCATTTCGTAGATTATATTTATTTTTTTGTTTTGTTATAAATAAACTATGAAAAGGAGACGGGGATAATTTCGTTTTACATTTGAATATAAAACAAAGAATATTATATACGTTAAGTTGATAAATGTTTAAAACATTCATTTTTCTTAAGAGAGGCTTTGAATGAGTTCGTCTATCACAAGAATTAACTAAACGTGCTATATGTTTCTTATGACGATGAAGAGGCTTTAGTTTACTTTTGTTAGTACTGCCCCACGCAATATTTCCATAGTTAACATGGCAGTGAATAAGTGAATAATATAGTTGCATTAAAGTGCGCATGTTTAAATAGCTTTTTGATTTGTATAATATTCCAATACTTTTTGAAATTTTGTTGCTTAAATTTTCGATGTGTTGTCTCAATGTAAGATTTTCATCAATATAATTGAATTTGGCGTCTCTCAAATTGTACCACTCTACGATCTTCTTAGAATAATAAAATAAAGCAAGATCAGGCCAGAACCAACAGTGGACATCGTGACATAAAATGGCAAAAGTCTAACTTACAACCATTCCTTAATGAAAACACCAAAGTTTAAAGTTAACGATGTGACGAAAGCTCGAGATCTCAAACCGGAGCTGCATAATGCTTGCAACAAGAAAAGTTTTTTACCAAATTTATCCAATGATTTATACTTGAACTTGTTGCTAACACGTCTACAAACAATTGAAGTGTAAAATTTTGGACCTTGGATCTGTTTAAAGTCACATTTGATGTATGTTTCGTCATCCATAATTATGCAGCCACTTAATTATGTATGCACTTTGTCATAAAGTTTTTAAACTCGAGTTTTAGCAGTCAGTGATTGCTTATCTGCTCGGTTTGAATATTTAATGGTTCAATAAGACATGAAATTGTTAAATTATTTACTTTCCTGACATAAAAACTTATACCTTTTGGCTTGTTCTTTGTTTGATAAGCCAGAATTTTGCGTGAACGATCGTCGAATATTAATTGCTGCTTTCTTATCCTTAAAGCCACTCTTTCTACCAGACCCTTTTGCTCGTATGACCATATAAACAGTGGTATTGCTAGATTCAGATGCTTTAGCGATTGAAAGTAACAATGCAGAGGGATTTTGTAGATAGTTGTGCCAAATTTTTTTTTTTGCTTTTCTAACTGTTTTGATGACACTTTAATTAACAGAAATACCTTGAATCGTTTATTTATGTTTTTATTTAATGTAATCATTACTTAATGTAATTACGCAAAAAAAAAAATGATTTTAAAATGTGTTAGTGACAAGTTTTAAAACGAAATTCATCGTTCTGAAATTAACGATTGCATTCTTTATGTTCGCTCTTATCTTCAACAAAGTAAGTTTGGTTAATAATTTAGAACAAGGTACATAATTAAGTGTCATTAAATATCAAAAATGAATATATACAATATCTTTTGTTAGATTGAAGTCTAGTTTAATATACCAATCATTTCTAAGAGATTTGTGTGAGTAGCAGATTTTTAGGAAAACATGTTAATGATAGACTATTAGGTTATTGTGGTACTAAATGATTTCAGAGGTCATTTTCATAGTAAAACAACAAGTGCGTGTTAAATTGATGTGTTATTATTAAGGTCTTTTTTAGTTTAATAATTTATATGGTTGAGTCTATTAATATTTACTAAAAGATTTATATAATAATTATTAAGTTTAATATTTATTAAAGAAATTTTTTTATCGGCAAACTTGAAACTTATTTTTTTAATTTTGCATATCAACGTAACTAGTTTTTATGTTTTAAATGATTAAAAACTTAGTTTTTAATCATTTAAGTATTTTATATTTAAAATACTTAAATGATTTATTTCTCAACTTTAATTTTTATAAAACAGTTCACACCTTAACTTTAACTTCTATAAAACACACCTAATCATTACTAAACAAATTTTTCTTCAAAACCTAAAAAAAAAATTATTCAATCAAAGAATAGTCAAACTAAAAAACTTTTACACAAAACATAATTTAATAAATTCAAGAAAAGTTAACGTACAGATAAAATTGTAAACTTGAAGAAAACAAAACGAACAGTCTAGGCTCTTTTCAAATAATAAGTTTGAATAATAAGAAATAGCCAATGATTTTGACCGATAGAATACCTTGAACTTATTAGACCATATCAATCTAAACAAAATTAAATTGTGTATTATGAATTTCCTCTACAGTAAGAATAAAAATATACACCACAATGAAAATAACTTTCAATTAAAATTTTAATTTTCAATTAAACAGAGAGCACATTAAAATCAAAATTCAAATATACATGTATAATCTATATACATACATATCTATATTTGTTGCAACTCAAAAACTGTTTAAAATAATAGAAAATGTTATTTAAATAACGATGGATTTAAACTAAGATAATTTATCTATAAAATAAAATTGATAAAAAAGAATGCTAAAATGAGGTAACAAGTTGTATGTGCGTGTATAGGAGTAATACGTCTGTGCTGTTCATGTTTTACAGTAAATTCTTGCGTTTTTTATGACCTGCTTATAAGATGTATCTCTGAACGTGCCACAAACTAACTTAAAAAGAATAACATGGCGGATTTAACACCTATTCACTAATAACTTTTGAGTCTAAAAACTAGTCGTAATTCAGAAACAAGCATCATTTTGAAACAAAGCATATCTAGACAGTTGTCATCATTTTGAAACAAAGCATATGTAGACAGTTGTCAAGCACCATTTTGAAACAAAGCATATGTAGACACTTGTCAAAACAAAAATGAAACTTTATGTACAACAAAAAAAATTGTGTAAACTCATTTATTTATTACTTGAACGTTTATAAGATGTTTATTACTTTTATTTTATTATGTCAGAAAAATATTAAAAGTATTGCCTTATTGTCGTAATTTTTATTCTATTATTTCAAAAATATAAAAATTATCACCTTATAGTCACATTTTTTATTTTATTATTTCAGAAATGTTAATATATTTATAAGTATCGCTTTATTGCCGTGCCGGTGGGAAAAAGATATCCAGATGAGACAAGACTTGCTTAAAACGTCTAAAACACGTTTTACTACGTATTTAATGCGTCTTAAAAGCGTCATTTGTTTATAGGTAGTGACTAGCTAGCAAAAAGCTTGCTAGTCGCTAACTCATTTCTCACCGGAGTATTTTTTTACAGACTATTCTCAAACTGACATTTTGATCATTTGATGACATTTTGAAAATGCAAAGCAGTGGAATTATACACATAAAACAAATCCATAGAGTCAAAAAAGAACTGTTCAATTAATCCTCTTTATAATAATCCACACTAAGCCGTAATTCCAAATAAATTTACATGAAAGTCATGTAGGTCCTCAATAGTTGTAGTGGTTAAAAGAACCACCTAATTTAAATTAGTTTTTGTCACTTTGCAAATTCTTTGTTGAAAACTATGAAATAAACGCATACTGTTCTATATACCTCCTTAGCAATACTTGTATTATCTCCTTCGGAATACTTGTATTATCTCCTTAGCAATACTTGTATTATCTCCTTAGCAATACTTGTATTATCTCCTTAGCAATACTTGTATTATCTCCTTAGCAATACTTGTATTATCTCCTTAGGAATACTTGTATTATCTCCTTAGCAATACTTGTATTATCTCCTTAGCAATACTTGTATTATCTCCTTAGCAATACTTGTATTATCGTCATCAAGAGCACTAATCTTAAAAATAATCTTGTAATTTATAATCTTGGAATATTTTCAAATGTTGCATAATGAGATGAATAGATGGTTTTAAAATTCTCATTTTTTTTGCATTTAACTCATTGATGTTCTTTGTTTTCCAGAACGTTTTTTATGAACGTTTTGAATAGTTATATCAGATTCAAACTTGTCTCTAATTAAAGTGATGATAGTCCACTAAGTCTGACTCCATTTAATGACCAAAGCTACTTAATTTTTCATATGTTACACCATGTAAATGGAGAATAAAATGAAGACTCCTGCTGAGACAATAAACCTGAATGACAATTACCTAAAATTAAAACAATATGTAAATAATCTTTAATAGTAAATTATTGCAATGAAAGGACTACAAAACTAGTTCCATTGAGCATTTTTTATGCTTATTTTGTTATTTTTGTTATGTTGTTTTTATTAAAATCTAAGCTATTTCATGAACTTACAAAATTTAAATATATCAAATATTCCTAAATAAGTTTTGATCAATAAATCACAAAATGAGGAGAAATGACAAAGTACTTTTATTGTATCAACCAAATATAGAAGTGGAATTCATTTAACAAAAATATATTTAAAAAAATAGAAGTGGAGGTCAATTACCAAAAATAAACTGATTATGTGAAGAAATCTTTTTTTAAATACAAAAAAAATTACATAAACAACAACTTTCAGAAACAAATTTAATACATTATTTTCAAATTTTTCAACATATTAGGCATTTTAATAAACAGATAACAAATAAAATACAAAAGTGTTTGAAAAACACATTTTTCTGAGGCTTTCAATCTTTGTTAATCAAATGTTGTAACAAATTATGCTTAAAATTGGAATTAAACTTTTTTTTACAAGGCCAAAATACAATTAAAAAAAAACAAACTTTGCATAATTGAAACGATCCCCTCAGTTCATCCGCAAAAAGAGCATAAAAGAGGCAAAAAATGACTTTTTTGGACCCATTGAGAAAAGTCATAGAGTAATAAAAGTCGTTTTTTGAAAAACCATACATACATATATATATATATATATATATATATATATATATATATATATATATATATATATATATATATATATATATATATATATATATATATACATATATATATATATATGTATTTATATATATATATATATATATATATATATATATATATATATATATATATATATATATATATATATATATATATATATATATATATATATATATATATATATATGTATATATATATTTATATTAGGTTGATGCATAACCATTACACGTTTTTTAGAGTCACTATTTAAAGACCAAGTTACCTGAATCTTGTTTAAAATTTTATGCTCCATTATAAACTATTGTTCAACGCATTGAAAAGTAATTTTGTTTTATTAATGTTTTTTTTACTTATCAACAATCTCATCTTCTCACAAAAAATTATTCACTATATATAGAATTTAAAAATACAACTTGTGACTCCTGTCGACAATTAATGATCATTATACAAAAATTTATGATAATAAAAAAATACAACGTGTCTTTTTTATCAAAAGTTAGCAAAGCTAATTAATGACGCAAATTGAAATTTTAACATAAATATAAAAGCTTCTTTTGAGTGTATTTTTTTATGTTTTATCGTTTAAAAAATATTGACTTCAAAATGTATATATATATATATATATATATATATATATATATATATATATATATATATATATATATATATATATATATATATATATATATATTGAATTCATAAGACATTGCAACTTTAAAATAAACATAGTTTTGGATGTTTAGTTTTTTCTAGAGCATATTATTATTTTTAATAAATCAAATATTTTTTAGTTTCGTTTATTTAAACTAGCCATGTTAAATAAATTTTATACGTCAAACAATTGAAATATATTTTACTATTTTAACATTGATCTTTATTCAAGTCTGATTTTTCTTGCTGTAAAAGGCTTGTATTTATATATGGATTTATTTTTTCTATTTTTATTTTTGCATTGAAATTATTTACTTACTTTCGTCGTTGTTGTTGTTTTTGTTTGTTTTTAGTAAAACTGTTTGAACAAATGCATTTTTAGATCTCACGTTCTTTGTCAGTTTTTCATCGAAAGAAAAAAGAAAAACGGTAATGTTTTCAATGACAACAATATTTAATTAAACCTATAATAAATTAAAAATATATCATTAATTAAAGATTTTACAAAGCTTTAATTGATTTTAGTTAACTTTACAAAAGAATACCCAGAATTCCCGATAGAAAGCAGTTCTCCTAGATTTTCTTTTGAACATGAAGCAGACTCTCATTTAAACGTTGAGCATATTCCTCACAAAAATCCAAATTTGAAAAAACGTCATAGTATAGCTGTTTCACAACCAACAAAGGGTCCTCGAAGTACGAACAAATCTCTGCGTCCAAAAAGTGATCTAACTTTTTTACAAAATGACATTAATCTCAACACATTTTATGACCCTCACAAAGCGAGATTTTCTTTATACGATAATCATAAATTGGAGCCATCATCTCTAAAAAGACATAGTTTACAAATATCTGGTAAAAAATTGAATCGATCTTTTTCATCAGTTCAAAATTCATCCAAAAATGACGTAAGAAAAATAAAAGATTCAGCTAATAGTATAATGAATGAAAATGTCTTAAACATTCGACGATCCTCAAGAATAGATTCATCAGATTTGACTGAAATTGAAAGTTTAATGCTTTCTCAAGAATCACTTTCTTCTATGCAAAGTGCAGACAGCGTCTTGGACGATTTGGAATGGGAGTCTAAGTCAAGTCTTTCTGATTTATCTAAAGTATAAAATAATTAATTTTTTATTTACAATTTAGTTGGTCTTTAATTATTTTTTCTATATTTGTGTTTTTTTAATAATAGATTTCCTTTCAATTCGGAAGTTCTGAAATAATTAAAGAACAAAAGGAAAATGTAAGTTAAAATTATAATTACTAAAAAAACTGAAACTGCTCAGAAAAATTTATTTTAAAAAGATTTTTATTATATATTAATAAAACAAATTTTCGTGCGATGGTAACATCAAAATAATTGCTGTATATTTTTGTTTTATTTAAGTATTAGGCTAGCATAACAAACCTCTGAGTTTGAAAAATGTTTTAGTACAGTTTTAAAAGAGAGACTTTTTTTAGATCTTTTTTTTTTATATTCACTTCAATTGTATGTTTATACCAACACGTTTATTTTTACATAAACAGTAATACAAACACATTCACGTATTACATATACAAAAACACAAACACATTAAGTTTCACAAACATTCAAGGTACATTTCAGCTTAACCGTTTTTTTACGGAACAGAAAAAGGAAGTAAAAAATAATCACGCGAGAATCTGTAGTTTGGCTTCAAAAATATTAAAAAACCTAATTTCTCTGTTGAAAAACTTGAAAAATGGTGTTCTCTAACTTTTGTTCTGTTTCGTCATAAAAATCATTTCACTGGTGGTATTTGTTTTGGCGCAAAAATCAAGTTTATTACTTTAACAACATCATGCGCAAAATTAATAGCTAAATCAAACTAATAGTTTTCTTTATCTTATAATTATATATAATATAAAATAATATTTTTCTGTATATATAATCTATATATCTTATAATATAATAATTATTAAAATATAATAAAATTATTTTATAATATTCTTTAATAGATCATTTATTTTCTAATTTTAGTCAGATATTTCAAGCACAGTTTCTTTAATAAAAACTGAGTTCTTTAGAAAAATCCTTGAACAAAATTTAAATGTAACATTATACAAACTAGATCGTATAACCGGACCATTTACGATAGAATATAAGGAAAAATAAATTCAAAGTAAGTTTAAAATAATTACTTTAGAAGAAATTAAAGATCGATTTCTGATTACTTTGTTTGTTTTTGCATACTTCCATCTTTTATAAATTTTAAAAATGATTGAAAACTTTTTCCATTAAATATTCTTTAAATTAAAAATAAGGTAGGCTAAAGACAAAATAAACGTCTTATTTTTACTATTGCAAAAAATTTTTTGTTTCTGCAAAATCAATGTAAAAAGCTAATGCCCGATGCTAAGTTCAATTATCCTCAGTAATCTCGTACTTTATCTCAGAAGTTAGGCTCTAAAGACCTTTGAAAAATCTTTAACAATGTCATTAACAGTCGAACCTTCTATCTGTAATTCATGGGTATATATATATATATATATATATATATACATATATATATATATATATATATATATATATATATATATATATATATATATATATATATATATATATATATATATATATATATATATATATATATATATATATATATATATATATATATACAATACATATATATAATATATATATATATATATATATATATATATATATATATATATATATATATATATACTATTCTGATTCATTCTCAAATAGGCTGCAAGCAACCATAATAGTATTTGTAGAAAAGAGAAAATGATGTAACCTTAAGACGATGATGTAGTGATTTAAGTTCGGAAGATTAAGCATTTCCAACTAAAAAAAAATTTAAAGTGCTTTTTTGGACCTTCTCTAGATGAGAAAGAGCATCGTTAGAAGAACTAGCCCAAATATAAAAAACAGAGACGAATATGAGATTTGTAGACAATAGAATCAGGAGTAAGATAATGGCGAGGACAAAAGCAACCTTAGCAGATTTTGCATTTGATTGTATATTCGGTTTCCATGAGAGGTCAATACTAAAGGACTCAGTGAGCAAATTGCCATTCGTTAATATAGGAGTGTCATATTACATAGTATTGCGTTACCGTAGCCTATTAGACCTACTTTAGATAAAAGATTGTTAGAAAAAGTATTAATGTAGATAAAAAACATAACAGAATCAATGATAAAACCTTAAAGTACATCGGAAGTAAAGAGTTGAACAATAGCCCTTTCCGTCCCCATCAAATGCACGATTGAATCTTTTGTTTAGAAAAGTTAGTAAGTCAGTCAAGATTGAATCTTTCGTTTAGAAAAGTTAGTAAGTCAGTCCAAGATGATAAAAATTTGTTGATTAAAGTCTCAAAAACCTTGCTAATTTTAGAGAGAAGACGGATTGGAAAATATTAGATGGGACATGTATACGTCAAAGTATAATTGTGGTCAGAGAACTTAAATCTGGACATATTCGCTCTTCAGGAGTGATCATGACTGCTCAAATGGTCATTTTAGGAGTGGTCCTGGGTGGTCCTGGAATACCCCGATAGTTTTTCAATTAGGTGAGATATGTTGTATGTCTAAATATATGTTATTGAGATCGATGAATTCAAATCTGGGCATATTTGGTCTCTAAGTGTGCTAAAATTTCCAGATCATTTTTAGGCATTCTTATTTCAGGTTTCCTTTCTAAAATGGTTTTCAGTTCGTCAGTAAATATTGTAACTTGTAGCAGGGAAAACGTACAGACACAATAAAACAATTAGTGTTTTGCCATGACAACTTTGAGAATATCAAAGTGAAAAACGAATAATTCTGCGTAAAAGAAGAGGAGTGATAGCTTCTTTTTTTTTTACTATGAACAACTATGTCTAGGTGTTTCATTACTATGTCTAGGTGTTTCAATACTATGTCTAGGTGTTTCATTACTATGTCTAGGTGTTTCAATACTATGTCTAGGTGTTTCATTACTATGTCTAGGTGTTTCATTACTATTTAGTATGCTTTCAAGAATATACATATTATCTGATTTGTAACTATGTTTATGTGTTTAAATTTTCAATATTAATTTGTTTGCTTTCAGAAATATACTTATCTCTTTTGTTGTATCTGCTAATTAACGTCCGTTAACAGATTTTAACATTTGAAAAAAGTAAATTAACGGCCATTAACGGAAAAATACCGCTAATAAATTTTAACGGAATATATTTTTACGGAAACTCCGTTAATTTTTTTTAACGCAAAGTATATTAACGGTTTTTAATGGACCGCCAAACACCCATGCTTAATCTTAACCGTGCAGGTAGTTATTTTAGGAGTGGTCAAGTGGGATTTTGGGATGTCTCAACTATTTTTCAATTATATGGAACAGTTATATCTAAATATAAGTAATTGAGGTTGGGAGATTCAAATCTGGCCATGTTTGGCCTCCAGGAGTGACTACGATTGCACATGTAGTCATTTTAGGTGTGGTCATGGGTTTTCAATACAGCCTTTTCTTTATTTTTATTTATTTTAAGTATTTAATTTCTTTAATATATTAAATATAAACATATAAAGTACAATAAAATTGAACTTTATTAATATAATTTTTTTTATAAATAAGAATCTAGGTGATGACATTCATCATACATAAGTATATCAAGAGCACCTCCTTCTCATTCTAGACACCTTAGTATCGTAGCTGCAAATCATTTTAATCATAAGGTCACTGTTTGATTGGGATCTGAAGAATTCAATTTGGTAGAGCTCTCTGTTGTTTTAGTGTAAAACATTATTATTAGGGTGTATTAGGATGTATGTAATGATTACACTATGGAACACAATTTTTGCGGCATCCAAGTGTTATATTTCAATTACTTATGTCTAAAAGTATGTGAAAAGAAGACTTCATTAGCACAAACTTTGCTTACACGACAACAGCACGAAGAAAACTTGTTTTTTTGTGAAAATAAAACAATTTTGTTTCAATTTTATTATTATGATCAGTAAAAACAAAAATTGCATAAGGAATAGACAAACACAGCCAGAACCGCTCAATAAGTTTCTAAAATGTTTTGTTTGTACTGTGAATCACTCTCTCAAAGTAACTCTCAATTGTTGTCCACCATCATGTTTTTGTTATACTGTTCTTGGTAACGACGTTCAAAGTCCAATATATTTTGATGAAAGTGCTCGACTTGCTCCGAGGAATAAGCGCCTATGTCCTCCTTCATTTTGTTGAGATGCAAGTTAAGGATATGGACTTTCAGAAATATTATGCATCCCATTTTGGCGTTAGTCTATATGAGAGTTAGCACAAACTCCACATAGTTTTCAACTTTTTGATTACCTAGAAAGCTCTAAACAACTGCAACGAAACTGCACCAAGCCGCTCTCTCCGTCCTGTTCAACACCTTTGCAAAATCCTTACATTCTACGACCTTTTTGATCTTCGGTCCAACAAATTTTTTTTGATTTTATTTTAATTCATCTCCCCAAGGCCATTAAGGCCACATTAGTCGAGGAGGCTATTTTTAGTTTTGGTTCAAACCCTCTCTCAACTCTATAACTCCGAAACAAGAACCTTGAGCGCGGTTCTACCAGGGACGTGGTGGGGATCGAACATGGAAATTCTCTCTTATGAGGTGAGCGCTCTGCCACTACTCCACTACCGCATAATAGTGTTGTCATGGTAGAGCGCTCTAATATACTAGCCTCAAACTTAACCTCGAACAGCTTTCTTCTTCTTCAAACTTAACCTCGAACAGCTTTCTTCTTCCTCAAACTTAACCTCGAAGAGCTAACTTCTTGTCAAGAGCAGTGACAAATTGCGTAGTCCTCTTTTAGATGTACAGAATGGGCCATCGGGAGAGACAGGTAGTTGTTTCCATTGCTAAACAACACATCTTTAAGGCTGCCATTGAACTGTTTATAAATAAGTACCATTCAACAAAATTACATGCAATACCTATAGCCTAGAATAGATTGGCAATATCGTTGCAGAAGCACAAACCATCACGTAGTCTAAAGTTGTAAAACCTTTGATGCCGTCCGCTCTGATCCGTGACTCGTACACTATCATCAACCAAATTCCACTGTTTGATTCTGAATATCAGAAGAACAGTATTTGATTTCGTAAACCTAAGGTTTCTAATAAAACCATTCACGTCTTTCTGGTTAGGAAAGTATGGTTTTTTACCTCCAATTTCATCTGTGGAATCGCAGTCCGTATCTTGAATATCTGCCTCGCTGCTTGACTTGCTGTT